GACGCTCTAATGACTGATGAAGTGGAACACCACTGTTCCATGGGGTTCGTTGTTTTGCTATATTTAATTTCCTTCTGGGATGTATCTGGTTTTTTTTGGGACAGTTGGAGCATATTTTGAGTTGCCTGTATCTACCGAGTAAAATGAAAATGACGTTCGCTTTCATTTACCAAAGTTTTCTTTAGTTGTTGTAGCAGTAATAATTTTATTTATTCAGATTATTTGTGATCTGGTCATCTGTCTTATTAGGTTATTAGTCAATCTCCTGCCGTCTTTATATTTGTATCGCTTTGTAACCATTGACATTAAATTGCAATTATTGCTAGAGCTGGCTTCCTTTTGTTTTTTGTTTTATTAACTAGTTAAGCAAGATGTTTTTTGGGACACCACCTCTTGAACACTTGTAATATGCTTGAAGGAAACCAAAGCCTTCCAGTCTACTTGCTATCTAAAAGCAGAAATTAATGAAGGAAACTGTAGTATTATTTCTGTCCTAGTTCCATTGCACTGCTTAAAAATTCTTTTGACTGAGAAAGGGGCCATCCTCCACTTCAATTACTATTATTGCTCTTCATTCAAATCAATCAAAATAGAGTACGAGGAAGAAAACTCCAAAGCTACCTCTTTTTTCATGGATACAACTTTGTGTTGCCAGCTTTCCAAAAGAAACCAAACCAAAATGACCATGAACAAAAGCAGAAATTTTAGCCTGAAGCTTCATTGCCACATTGCAATGAATCAACAATAACATGTTCCTCTTCTTGAACGCAGTACATAATTGATTTGATTTATCATCGTTGATATACATGGAAACATAAACATTACTAAAAGGATCTCTCCCATGGTAATTATGATCCACGGGAAGTAAAATAGTTGGGTGCTAGAAATGAAATGGATTTGCTAACAAGCTGTTACGAGCCAATGGGATCCTTCTCTATCTTCGTTATCAGTGAAAATTGTCTTTTTTGTTCAATTCCTATTACATTGAGCATACTTTGGATAGGGTATCTCACTTGGAAAATAAGAATGGTGTTTCATGTAGAGGAACCAGCATGGTTAGTTCTTTCCTTGATCTGGGATGATTGTTAATTGTTGTGCCTTTTGTATTCAAATAGAAAATGCTGCTGTAATTTATGCTGATTGAATAAATGTGTCATTTCTAGAATTATATAATCCTGCAAGCATTGAGTATATTTTAATCCTAGGCTAGTGGTAGATGCGTGTCCAAAGTTAAGTTATGTCCATCTGTTACAAGTAAACATTGAAATTCAGAGCAGTTGTATGAGTTGGAGCATTTGTGTAGTCTTTGATGCGGTTTGTATTTGTTGTCCGTTGATTGTCTCATATATGGCACATTGATTCTTAGTTGTTCATTATCTTCAAAGAATTATCATCTTTGGTTCCTCTGGCCTTAGTTTAAATATAAACTTTGATATTTCCTGCTTTATATCATCCTTCATTCCATGTTCATGCTTATCTTCTGGTAGCATCATAGTCGGAGATTCATTTGAATGGATTTGATAAATTTCGATTTGGCTTCTCACTGCTTCCTGTTTTTTTGATTATTCACTCTTTCTTGGCTCATGTATCTTCTGTTTTTGAGCAGATTCTATTCTTTTTCCTGACGTACCAATTGCACTGAGATTGTCTAGTCATCTTCTGCTTGGTGTGGTGAGGATATATTCTAGAAAGGTGAGTTACCTTTTTGATGATTGCAGTGAGGCTTTGCTCAAGGTAAAGCAAGCTTTCCGCTCCACTGCTGTTGATTTACCACCAGAAGAATCAACTGCCCCATATCACTCCATCACCTTGCCAGAGACTTTTGATCTTGATGATTTTGAGCTTCCAGACAATGATATTTTTCAAGGGTTAGTTCCAAAACATCTGAATAATGTTGATTACTTTTGTAGATCAAAAGAGCTCCAGATACACGCTGATCTTGCGAGGATCTGGAGTTGAGTTCATTCTTAAAAGGGTCCAACCATTATGTGCACTGGTCTTTATCCAGTAATTGTTAGATGCCTGACCATCCAAGTTTTTCAAGTGACTACATGGCCTGTTCTGCTGGACTAATTATATGGCTTGATTTTTTTTGGTACTTATATGGTAATGTATTGCTGCAAACTTCTGATGATTGTAGAAGATTCAGGAGAATTTCATAGTGTTCATTTTCCCTGTCTATTGATTGAATATAGGTCTGAATCATAATATGTCAATTTCCTGCTAGGACCTATGATGCCTTTTTATCTTGATATTGACACAGCACTTTCTTGCAGCAACTATGTTGATCATCACATTAGTACAAGGGAGCAGATTACCCTCCAAGACACAATGGATGGTGTTGTCTACTCCACATCACAATTTGGATTGGATGGTTAGTGTATGCCTTTGCAAGTCATGGGAATATTACATTTAATTTTATAGAGATGGCTGTGCACTTAATGGGTTTCTGATATATTTTGGGGTTGCTTTCAGAGCGGTTTGGTGACGGTGACACTTCTCATGTTGATTTGGACCTTGAAGAGGTAATTTTGTTTTGCTTTTGTCTATATATCTTTGCAAGATGGGCTGGAATCTACATTGATCTGCAATTTGGTCAATATGGTTTTACAGTTTTACTGGTATTTAGTGATAGTAGATTTGTTCAACCATATTTTTAAATTTGGAACCCTCATGTGCCACGTGCTGGGTGCGCTGCTCTGCTTCTATGCATGAGATTTTCTCAATACCTCCTACCATCCAGGTTTTTTATGGTGCTGGATAAATCTGTTTCATCCACTAGCTCACTTTATTGTATCATGTGATTGCTAAATTTTCTTTCATGGGTTGCTTATAAACAGGACCTGTTCCTAGACAAGGTTGCAGCTCCAAGGTCTGATGAAGTTTCAGAGTATGGATTTCTACAACTTTGCTATCTGATTCCTTTTCAAACCTTTCATGTGATTGTGTGTTCATTTGTTCACATACTTTCAAATTCCAATTTGTTTTATTCATTTTTTCGATGGCGGGGAGATACTATTTGAAAGACAGCCTTGTGCTTGTCCCATAGATAGATGTTTTTTCAGATTGCAGTAACCAAATGCTAATATTTTGAGTGTTATATTAATAAATGCAAATTAGAATTCATTTTCAAGTATGTGATTGAGCATAATTCCCATTCATATTATTTATACATGGACTATGTTTTGTTATCTTTGGTCAAGTCTTTGTGCCCAATAGTAATATGTCATTGTAGCTGCAGTTAATTTGGTGAGAGCACAATGCATATAAATGGAGATATTAATAAATTGCTCTGTTGCTGGATGAGTGTATCATCTGTGTGTACTTTAGTTTGCATGGACACCCTTCAAGGCAAACTGTCACAGATAGGATACTAACCTTCTATCTAAAAATATTCATATTGATGAAATTAGTGTTTGCAGTCTAGAGTATAAGCATATGATGTTGTGGTTTTAATGAGGTTTTCATGGTTGCATTTGGTTAAGATAAAGGAAATAGATAGCTTGCATGCAATGTATGCCTGGCTCAACATCCACTCCATAATAAATAGTCCATCACAAGGCTATTATTATTATTGTGGGTAATTAGTGATTGTTGATTCATGGAATCATTTACAATGTGCAAAGTTTGAAAATATAAGTTCATAGAATATGTGTGGATAGTTAACCTGGTGATTAATACATAATATCAACCCCCTTTTTGCAGGCTGAGTCTTCAGCAGACGTCTGCGGAGCCATTGGAACCAAAAGTAGAGGAAGATCATGATGTGATTGGAACTGCAGAAGCCATGCCAGTGAATGGTACTAGAAACAAGGTTGATATGGAAATCCGAAATATGTTCTCTTACCTCTAGCAGTCTCCTATTCCCTTCACCCAATACTTTTTTTCCTCTTAATGTGGTCCATTGATTTTTGTTAATGTAATTTGTTGAATTTATCATTTTTCTTGGAAGTGGGAGGATAATTTTAGCTGATGAAAATGGTTTACCCTTGTGAGCAGATGGGAAGTCAAGCTTCAAATTCTGAATCTCTGGACTATGCTCAGGCTCCTTCCACTCCTGGGTTAGTAGAAGAGCCAAACTTGTCCAGTGTTCAGGATGGTCTAGCCTGTGATGATCATTTAAAATCAGAAGATAACAATTTGACCGATGGCATAGAGAGCACTGGAAATGCTTCCAGTAAGCCAAATCATCACAGGGATGACACAATGAATTTGTCTTTGGGCAATCATTTAAACTGTGATACTGTTGTGTGCATACCTGCTGAGGAGAATGGCTGCCTTCCTGGTGATTTGGAAATCAATCAAGCAGAGTCACAAGGAGAGTTACTATCTACATCAGTGAATATAGATTGTTTAGCAGCAGATGGGACGGTTTGTGCATTAGATGGATCAAAGAATGTAGAAGTGATAAATAACATTGTCTGCAATGGTGAGGTCACTGTGCCCTTTGTCGATAAAATCAATGGTGAGTGCAGAGAATCCACGGGAGTCAGGCTACACGAACCAGATAATCTCGAAATTGCTAATGCTGTGGAAGACTTGAGCTCACTTGGAAAAGCTGTAGATGCGAATACTGGCTGTCCATTGGAATTGGCTGGTGCCCCAGAGGGTGATGCTCAGGCTCACCGAGGGCCAGAGGATCCTGATTCTTCGAGCAAAGATGATGGAGAAAAGACACACAATTGCATGGGTGTGCTCCGTGCATGCAATTCCTACATGAGTGGACCTGATTCATCATTTCATGGGATTAATAATGATGATTTTCAGCTTCCCCCTGAAACACAAGGTCTTGCACCGTGTTCATTGGAGATGTCCAATGGGGAGGAAGTATTCCATGCTTCTGGAATTTCCACTAAGGTGCAAGGTTTGTTCTACAAGCTATATGAATGAACTTTGAGTAAATTGTTGTGCAAGGTGTTGTTTGAATCTTCTGCACATGTTACAAGCTATACTTTTTAATGTTTAATGGATCTCTTACCCTTGCAGGTGAAAAATGCCATGTGACTGATGTTATACAATCAGTGGAAAATCAGATATCTGAACTCAATTTACCTGGAGAAATTCAAGCAGATGGTGGGAAATTGAATAGTCCCTTGACTTCTGAATTGCCTACACCTGAAAAGTTGCTTTCTTTACCTCAAGGGCTTCTTGATAAGCCAAATGATTTGCTGGTTGAGTCAACTCCAGTAGAAGAAATCGTAGATGGGGGTGACAGAAGCAGTGCTGGAACCAACATTACTGGAAAAAAGCGTAGTTTTACAGAAAGTTCACTAACTGTGCAGAGTTTAAATTCAGTTGATTCTTTTGGTGTCTCTAGATCAAAGAGAACAGTGGATTCCATTCCTGATGATGACGACTTGCTATCTTCTATATTAGGTATATGATTCTTGATGCCTCTTAGAATGCCATGCTGTGACATGACTCATGAGTTGTGTATATATAACAAGAAAAAAGGTTCAGTGGACTTGCTTTGAGAAAAGGTGACTTTTGTAAATATGTGGGCATGTTTGACCTTGCATATTGTTGTTTCAGTTGGAAGAAGATCTTCAGTTCTGAAAGTGAAAACTACTCCACCTGCACCTGAAGTGGCATCCATGAAACGTGCCCGGTCTGCATCTCGTCCTAGTGCCATGAAGAGGAAGGTGCTTATGGATGATTCAATGGTCTTGCTTGGCGAGTATGACTATTTTTTTTCATTTTATTCTTGTTTTCATAAGTTACCTGTTGTCAACTGCTATTTGTAGTAGTAAATATCTATACTTGTTTAAGAGTCTGGCAGTAAAGCAAGCCTCTCTTGCATGTCAAACTATTGAACTAATAAAATAGGAAAATTCTGCTAGCTATTGTCTCTTACAACCCCTTTCCCCCATCCCTGTTGAGCCATAAAATTTATACACTTAAATTAAGTATGTTGCTGCTGCTGTTTCTTGAAAGAGTCTCTTCTATCTACCCGTTGCATAAGCTCATTGTCTTTGCAGTTCAATGATCCCTTTAGCTTTGTTGAACAACTCTGACTCCCTTTGATATAGTTGCATGAAGATAGGTTACCCATTAGGCTTAATATAGCTTTGTGCTTTTGTCTACTGGGCTTCAGTGGCAGTATATGCTATAATTTGTTTTGAGATAGGTTACCCAAGTATTTTTCTGACCCTCACTTGCATAATCAATCGGTTTAAGAATATAAATTTCAATGATGCACTAAATATTTGGGTGTCGTAGACTTTTTATAATCTGTTAAATACTGCTGATGGTTTTCCATTTCCCCCCTGTCAAGTACAATACGCCAACAGTTAACTAATACTGAAGACATACGTCGCATACGGAAGAAAGCTCCGTGCACACGCACCGAGATTTTAATGATTCAGAGACAATCCTTAGATGAAGAAATTTTCAGTGAACCAGTATTGACTGGTGAGTGCATTTTGCAAAATCTTCAGCATGCTTGTTTGCTGTAATTTATTTATTTGTTTAAATTGTAATGATTTGTTCTGTCTGATTATGTCCTGGCTTTAGTTATAACAATCAATGTGACTCTCCTATTAACTTTGAGAGCTCTTATAGGCCCACAGTACACAATTTAGGAACATCTTTTCATGTTGTAACAATCAAAGTTGAATCCCTTCTCTATATTTTTTCAACAGAAGAATGTTACAACAGAATCTAGTTGTATTTCATGAGTGGATGATTGCCCCCGCCACCCCCCCTTTTCTTTTTTTCTTTCAGCTTGTGCCATGAGCTTCACTTGATTCACTCCCAGCTTGTGAAGATGCTGGCTAAATTTCAGTGGACATGAATTTTTTTTTTTATAACCTTTGATTTTCTTGCGTGTCTTTAAATTATGCATGCTTCATTTGATTTTATTGTTATTCATGCAACCAAATTTCGTTTGCTTATGAAGATACAAGCTGATTAAATTTTGGTCTTTCAGGTATGTCGGCAGAGCTGACATGTTTGCACAGTGAAACATTTGATTTGAGCAGAATAGAGATAGATGACAATGATGATAACAATGCTTCTGTAGTGGCAAAGGATTCTAGTAGACCAGCTGTTGCTCAAGTTAATGAATTGGAAGCAAGCACTGAACCTGTTATTTGCAGAAAAGATGTTGATGGACAACCTGCTGAGAATCTCATTTGGACTGAGAAGCAAGGGCAAATGAGTGCTATTGTCGATGTTTCTGGTTACAGATCTTCAGAACATGGAATATTTGGGGAAATAACTGAAATGGAAGTTGATAAAGGGAATGTGGAAGTTACAGATGCTGCAAACCACACCACTATTCTGCATTTTGATGGATCGCACACTGAACTGATTTCTGGAGATGCTGGTGACATGGTGGATGGGATGGCTCTCATGGATGGCTTTACTGGCACAGATGGTTCTCTGCAGATGGATGCTTCAATTCTGCCATCGGATATGATGGATACTCAAGTATTTGGGGAGGTTGATTTAAGGGATGTGAGTGATGGAAAAACACTCGATGACATTGAAGTTTTAAAACATCATAAACAAAATATTGTTGCAGTTGAAACTGAATCAAGGGAATGGGAACTTTTGTTGGAAGAAAGCGAAGCTGGCGGACCAGCAGAAATCAGAGTAGATTTTCAGGCTGATGGATCTGCACCTGCTGATGATGCAGACACATTGCTTGCAAGTATATCGTCAGAGATTGGTGAATGCATTAACCTCACTTCTGTAAATGTTGACCAAACTCAGGATGGTGTTGAAAATGACAAGCTAGGGGATGGTAATGAAGATGGGGGCCTAGCCATGAGCTCAGGGCATGTTGACAAGGACCGAGATTCTAATCATCTATGTAATGAAGAATTAATGACGAACCCTACATTTCCTGTAGGATCTGATACGGACTTCAAAAATGATTCTCTAAATGGTGGAGATTATCCTGTTTCTCGAGAAACTGATCCACAGAGAATTGTGGATGCTGAAATAACTTATGCTGACCATCCTGCTGTAAGTTAAACACCTGATATCATTTTTGTTCTGATTTTCTCTTGTAAGGCATCTTCATTAGAACTCATTTCTGTCATCTGGGTGCTTTTTATGTTTTTCTTTTTGCTTTTTTTTCTTTCCTTGTGCCTGCTTTTGTAACTGTAAAACATGATTTGGCATCGAGGTGCATCTAAATTTGTTCCTTTTTTTGCACACCTAGTTTTTCTGTTGTCGAACAATATTAGGGAACACAGTTTATTCTGTTGTTAATGAACTTGATTTGTTTTTTGTTTTTTTATCTGGTGGAAACTTGTCTGGCTGTTTCTGATCCTTTAATTTTTATTTGTTTTAAATTTTTCAATAAGAGATGTTTAGCGGTTAGCAAACAGAGCAGTCACAAACTATGACGCACAAGTAAGAAGCCATGTGTAATAGCTTGGCATGCTTAATTTTTTGCCCTCCCTTAAATGTGTTGCAATTTGCTTCAAAAGCCAATTTGTATTTGGCATCACTTTGTCCTAGCATGGAATTATAATATGGTTATGGACTCTCATATTATTATTGGATGAGTAGAATCTCCTGTAAATAATTCCAGCATTGGCTAAATAGATTGTCTGATGGTGCAGGATCTTCAAGATGTTGCATTTGCAAATGATACAGGTGAGCTTCTCTTTCATAGTTTAATGAAGTATTTGCAAACCTCTAATTGTGTTTCTTTCTTATAATGTTTCTTTCATCATGAACAGTCATATATATAGTAAACACTTAAACATGTTTGGTGCTAGACATTCTTTTTGTAGCGTAAAATATGTAAAACTTAATGTTGAAGACATCTGTTCCTCATTTTTTAGTGTTCGGTAGATTATCAGCAAACATCATTTATGTAGGGATATTAAATTTCAAATTTAGTTGCAAAGAGCTGTTCTCGACAGTAATGCAGGCATGGAGAACATGCCAAAAAAAAAAAGAAGATTCAAAGATTTGAGGAATTCAGAATTATGATTTAGATTGGATATGGAGCTTATTTGGTTCATTACAGTGTTTTAGGTCCTAACAGAATCATAGTTTTATTTTTATCCAAGCCAATTAACTGCTGATTCTTTGTTTCTATAGTTTCATAATTCGTTGGTATTTTATGCATCCATCAACTTTGCTTGAAATAGGCTATAGCAGGTTTTAGGTATCACTTTTGGGTTTTGCGATTTGATAGTCTCTTTGGCCTTCCTGTTTTAGTCAATGGCATGAATATTTTTTTGGCCTAGGACAGTGAACTGATTTTCTTTGCGAAGAATTCTCTTCTGCTTGTATGTGCTATTTGGTGGAGTTTCTGTTTTTAATGGTGGTTTGCCTATTTTCTTTTCAGAATTTTTGAATGTAGATGATGATGAGATGGGTGGAAATGATGATGATGGCATACCAGGTCCTGAAGATGCTTGCCTTCTTGACAATAGTGGATGGTCTTCCCGCACCAGGTGTGTGCGGATCATGTGGGCTGGGTTCTTGCTGGATGATATGGAAATGAGTTTTGTCTGTGTGTGCATGTGTGTGTATCTGTTTGTTGGTGTGCATTCATATAGGATCTAGGACAGATTTCCATTGGCATGCTGGGCGCGCATACTTTACTGTTGTGCATGGTATTTGAGATCATGCCTAGATATTATGTGGTCAAAATGATAGGTATATGATATCTGCCTGCTTAATGTGTTGAAAATTTGCCCTCCACTTCCTTTATTTTTTGGCACTTCATCTGTGGGTCTGTAGGGTAGTGTAAAGCAGTATACTGTAGCTGAGATTGCCTTGTCTTTCAATCTCTATCCAAAGCTGTTCTTTTTACCCCAAAGCTTCTCTGGGTTGCTTTACAGAGCCATGTTGGTTTTTAGCAAGTTTTGGTATATGAGTGGCATATTTGAGGAAACACGATGGCATTGCAAACTTGGGATGTTAGTTGAAAGCTTTGAATTATTTACATTCTCAACCCTGCTATGATAATTATCACTTAATAGCATACAATTTAATACTATCTTCGTGTCCTCCACTATAAAGAGTGAACAAACTATTTATTTGTTGTAGAGTTGTCAAGATATCGCAAGATGTTCCCTGGTTATGATGATCAGGATCATAATGAGCTTAGACAGTGTTCTCCCTTTTAATCCTTGTAATTTTACATTAAAAATACTGGCTGTGGAGATTCTTTGTTTGCGTCTTCAATGCAGTCTTTAATATGTTTCGTGCATTTCTAATTAAAAATTAGGCTGAATGATTACGATAAATTGTGGATGCTCTCTTTTGCAGAGCTGTTGCCAAGTACCTTCAGACTATATTTGATAATGAAGGTGGAAATGGAAGGAAGGTCATTTCAGTGGACAACCTTCTGGCTGGTAAAACTCGGAAGGAGGCATCAAGAATGTTCTTTGAAACTTTGGTATGTGTTGCACACTTGGGTTGTGGTGAACACCATATTGTGTTTCGAAGATCTGATAAGGACATAAATATTTCTTTCAAGTTGAAAAATAGGTGTTGAATGGGTTTGAAGGGGATTTGCATAATTTTGATGTGGGAAGGACTTGTTAGTATAGGCAGGGGGCAAGCAGTTCGTTTTAAATTTTAACAGTGGCAACATAATATGGAGATAGAGAGCTGTGCAAGGACCAAGACATTTTAATACAGGGTGCTTGTTTGAATATTGGAAAGATTTATTGAGAAATAGAACAGCGATGAATAATATGCTAAAATGCATTGGATGATATTCTAGTTATCCTTCTGTTGTTTGCAACTTGTTTGTGTGGCGGTGGATCCTCCCTCTTGACTTCGATGATTATTGATGATGTTAATCTTTGCCCTTTTGCAGGTTCTTAAAACAAGGGATTACATCCATGTAGACCAGTTAAAGCCCTTTGACAGCATCAATGTAAAGCCACGAGCAAAGCTCATGAAATCAGACTTCTGATCTCGGGTAGGAAAGGCAGAAACAGTTGATAAAATCAATTTAGGTCTAGTTCAGCTCGTGCTGAGTGAGCTGGGGATTTTCTTTCTTCTTTTTCCCTTTTCGTCATATTTATTCCTTACTCTAAATTATTTCCTCATAGTTGGTGTAACTGATAGTTTAACGACGCAGTAGAGTTGCATATGTTACAGTATCAGGTGTAACATTCGTAATGTGGATCATGTGTGTAAATATGTGTAACATATTAACATTTGCAATTGAAGATGCTAATTTATTTGTTTGCCTCTACAATTACTGTGCTATTTGTTATTGGTGACAGGTAGATTTGAGTGTCAGTTTCTAAAGATGTCATTGCCATTTTAATTTAGTCGAAGCAACAATGGCAAATTAACCTTTTGGTTGCGATGGGCCATAGGCGTATGCTTAACGAATTCTTCCTTGTCGCCATAGGCAATCATTAGATTGTGTTTTCTTTGATTCATTCGTTGCCCATGCAACTAACTCTGCGACTGCTTCCATGGATCTTCAGTTGAATCAGTCCATCTTCATCAATTCAAGGACCGAGTTGCTTATATTCATTTTTCATGCAAAATAATAATGATCACCACCAGTTCGTGGATCATCAACTTTTGGTCAAACGAACATCAATTCATGCACTACGTGGAAAATAGGACGATAGTAGTGTGAGTTTAACGGGGGCTCTTTGCTGGAAGGCTATATAGAAAAACTGTTTGGAGTGAAGCGTGGCAGGAGGGATGGAGTGAATTTGTGCGCCAAGGCGGAGAAAGGAAAGATGAATCATCATCCATCTAATTGTTTAGCTAACAAGGGAAGAGGAGAATGACAATTACCTCCAATCCTTTTTGAGTCCATGCTCTTTCTGCCACACAAGATATGTCTAATCCCTTCTCGTTCATCTTTCCTACAGTCCCTTCTGACAAATAGACTAATAGTGTATAACTGGATGAACATTCGAGGTGTGAACTAAAGCGGGTACATATTAATGGAGGTACCGTGGAGGTGCTTACAAATAAAAAGAAGTTCAACTTCGCCTCACATGGTACAAGGAAATTTAAACCGACACTCATTAATTTCTGATCCAAAGCCAGTAACTAGAATCACTACATTGCACTGCACCATCAAACCACCAACATATGGAGCTGCTGCTCTCACAATTGTTTTGATTATGCACCATCTGCAAGAGTCCTCTTGGATGTGCTGATGTACAGAACTGCATCAAAGGAGTTCAAATATGGTCATCATCAAGCAGTCCTTCGAGACAGGCAAGAAATTACAATGTAAAGACATTTGGTACCATTATTTCCTCGTATGAAAGCATCACCATATTTGTTTTTCAGTTGGCCATTTACATATTCTTCTGTTTGTTCCATTGCTATGTTCATGTACCCATCAAGACAAGCTAAAATACCTGCACAAAAAAAAATGCCAGTGACAATAAGCATAACATTGGATAAAAAGAGTGAGATTAGAGCATGCTCCATAAAGTGGGGGAAATCAAGCTGAAGTTCCAGTAATATCATAGCACTTGACATCTGATTATTCGACTTGTCATACCATGAATGCCATGGAAATTCTGGACAGCCTTGAAAAGGTTTATAGGCTAACGAGTCATTGTGTTTTCTCATACTCTTCCCATTTCTGGACAGCCTTGACGAGAAACAAGGAAATTTCACTGGTCTAAACCATGTGCACTAAGCAGGAAATATTTATTTATACAAAAACGCTCCTTGTAATAAATCCTTCCCTCATCAAGGCTGTGACATGACTTTAAAGAAAAACTGTTTGTCCGCTAGTAGACCTTTTTGGTTCACAGATACATTGCAGTGATGGGCAACGCCCACTGGTTCATTCTGCATTCAGATGTATATCTATAACCCGAACAGCATAACCCATGTCCCTAGAACGGGTTAAATTTCAATATTAAAAACCAACACATTGATTTCCGGTGCACAACCTTCATTAAAATGTGAAAGAAAAAACCCATTTATGGGAAAGTAAGACGGTTATACTGTAGCTATATTTAGATAAATCCATCATCTCACCATGTTGTAGATGAAACCAGCAGAAAGGATAAGAAAGAAAAATTTACAGATCAGGTTTATATAGAACACAACTAGAATATGCTACATAGAAAAAGAAAGTGACCTCTATAATCAACTCCAGAATTGAGCTTAACCACAACAGGCCGCCCACGAATTGATTTAAGAAAATCAGCCGGTGTTTTTGTGGTTGTCGAACCCTTCTCTCCTCCAGTTGACATTTTCTTTTTCCTGCATAAAAATATCATGGGCAATAACGAAAGAATCATACATTTGGCCTTAAAATCTTACGAAAAAACAAATCTGAAGAATCATATCCTCAACGCAATCCCAATCTGCCAAAAACATGGGAAACATAGAAGAAGACAACGACTTGAAATCCCTTTTGCGCTCGTAAAAGCAGGTAGTTACAGTTCCAAGTAGTCAGATTTGAAAAAACTGGACATGAATCGTACCTACAAACTACCTCCTGTAAATTCTATAGTCCATAATACTAAAATTAAAAAAATAAAATAAAATGTTAGCATGCTAGTGTTTTTGAAGTAACAAGGAATTACCCGCAAAATAAAACTAAAAGACAACCCTAATTTCATAGCTGAAAAAGATTGAAGAATTAATAATTCGAGTTTTTTTATTTTTTATTTTACCTGAGTTGCCAAACAAAGACGATCTTCTGCTTTGGGATTAGGGTTTTAGGTAGGGGAGGAGGGACTTGAACCTGGGCTTATTAGAAAGAGTATATACAAATAATGGAGAAATAATGTTGCGCGTGTCTGTCACGTGAAAGCTCCTCGTCTGGTTATTTATGGAGCCCTTGTTTTCCAATAATTTTCTGACAAATACAATATTAATGAATTCTTCGACTACAAAATACAAATGAACCGAGCTCGTCCTAACTCGTTTGTTGAAATAAAATGAACTTATATAAGTCCACAGTTAAAAGCTTGTTATATAAATGATTTGAGTTTAAATTTAGCTAAGTTTTATTTATTTTGAATCATAAGCTAGTTTAATTAAGCTCATAAATTAGGCTTTAAGCAAAACTCATTTAAAAACTTCCAAACAAATTAGTTTATAAAACTTACAAAGATTTGAAAGAGTGAATAATTTTTATAATATTTCATTAATTATATAAACAAATTTAACATGCAATAAAAAAATTTCTTGTGAAATAAAATTTAATAAAGATTTTATGTGTGTGATAGATAAAAGTTCAAAGATGTAATAAATTTTTTTAAAAATCCGTGAGATACATTGTATTTATAGAACTTTTTATTATATTGCAATTGTATAATATTTTTATAAATATATTAAATTTAAGCCTAATTCGTATATAAATAAATTAGCAGATTTGAGTTGGATATATATTTTGTTAATCTGAACAAAAAGTTTTATTCTATTTTTAAAAAATATTAAATTGATATATTTTTTTAATATTTTTCAATGATTTTGAAGTTTTAATATAAAAAATAAAATTAAAAAATTAAAAAAATATTTTAATGTATTTTTAATTTAAAAATTATTTTTTAAAAAAACTTTACATCAAATACCAAACATATATAAAGACAAAACATTGCTACCTGTTAACTAACTGCAGGAAAGAGCAAACAGACCTTACCACGACCATTTAACCATAATACAGGTGATGCATTTTCAGACAAAAAACAAGCACATATATACGAAGTCCCTTCTTCGCGGCGACAATGCTCGACTAACTGGCTAGCTAATAATTAAATAATCATCTCAGCTCAGGCTGGCTTAAGCATGAGGAGTTTATCTTTGCCTAGCAGTGTAACACTCAATAATCACGCGTTATTAGTATATATGTTAGCTAGAGTGTGAAAGATTAAATAGTTCAACAACCATTAACCGAGCCGATTTTTGACCTAAGAAATTGCAAGGAGAACTACCATCCAAGCTGAAACTCGAGGCGCCTAGCTGCTGCTTTCTTATGTTCTATTTTGTTCGAACTAGCTCGGTTCTGACACTCGCAGGCGACCACCAACCCTATCTGCCTCGCTTCTCCTGAATAAGGATATCATCATCAGGAGCAATACGTTAAGCTTTGCATGATTTAAGAAACATAAAAGTGATGGCATATAAATTGTAACTGATCCTTCCCTCTTAACAAGTTCGTCTTCTCACCTTCTGAGGCAGTTCAATTTCCTATGATGAACCAGAACTTTGCTTTACGATATTGAATAAGAGTAGAAGTAGCCAGTGTCCAGTAACTTTAATGCAATAATTAAGCAGTTTCACTCACCTTCTACTATTTCATTGAAAGACAAAAAAACATTCTCGTTTGAATAGCTAACAACTCTTTCAAAGCTTAGCGGGGAAAAAGGCGGATACAGGTAAGAATGGTGCAGCCTGACACAATAGCTTCATTTATGTAAACTAACACTGTTTTGAATACCACAGCCAGTTCGAGAACACTTTGGATAATACAAAAGAATGCAATACCCTATACAGATGAAAAGACGATGAATGACAACTGTAAATACAAAGTAATTTATCTAGAAGATAAAACGCTTGGATCAGCTGGCTTGCTTAATACGGTATATGGAAACAGCTGCTGCATGGACCAAGTTGTGCGAAGCCGAATAAGGTTCCGTCGATGAGTTGTTCATGTCTTCCAGGTGCAAAAATCCCAGTGTCCTGACCATTGATTGCTGTTTGGATAGGCTCATTAAGTGCAATTCTATTCTTAACTCTATCACTAAAACTTGCAGAGCAAGTGTTTGCATAGATTGCAAAATATTTTCTGCGTGTTTGTGAAGAAAAGGGACGCTTGGATCAATACTGAAAATTCGAAGTAAACTCCAAAATTGATACATTAATCCACACTCGCAACAAAAAAGAATTTTATACTTAGGTCACATAAATGATGCAAACATATTTCACATAACATTTACTCCATCCGTTTTCCAGGCATTGCACAAACACAATTCACATCTAAACAGGCGGCTTCTATCCGCCAGATTTCCTGATCAGTGAGCAACAACAATCTCTTAAAAGGCACAACCATATCAGGATATTCAAAAGATTTGTTTCTCTCATGTCCGGGCTAGCCTAGAGAATTTTTTCTGAGATGCGACACAAAGATTGAAGTTCTTAGGTTCAGCATAAGGGATACTTCTGTTCAAAACAAAAATTAAGTGTGGAGACCCAAAAAGAACAATGCATGTAATTAAGTAACTTTTGAAAAATGATTTTAATGTTAAGCAAGTAGTAGACTTGTTTCCTTATGATTTTAATGTTGAGCAAGTAGTAGACTTGTTTCCTTCACAAGCAAGGGATTCCTATACTCCCTACTCAGAGACAAACTATAATGAGGATTAATCAAGCTTCTATGGATCTGTCATCATTTACAAATCCTCAAAACCATGAATTTAGAACCTGAATTCACATCACGCTTTTCTGCCACCCTTTCTGCCTCTCTTTCCAAGACAATCAACCATCTGTACCCTAGATATCAACTTCTATTTTGAAAAAAAATTAACATCGAGAACACATGATAAGTGTAACCGTAGCATCAAAGCTAAGTCAGCCAGCTTCAAGTTCAGCACCAAACTGCTCTAAGCGAGCAGCATCCTCATCAGGATCCCGGACCAAAGCATGATTAATTAGTCCATCATCCTCACTAGCACCTATCTGTCTTCCGCCAAACCTAAATGGCAACAAGAAGAATCATAACAGAAAGAAAATTAGAAAATTTAAATGACTTCGGAAGGACTGGTGAGCAATGCCAATGAACTAATCCAAAAAAGATTTCAACTGATGCTACATTTTTGGGTTGATTGATCTACACCTTATTTCTGAGAGAGTCCCTCATAGCGTCTCTTTTCAATTCACAATGTGACAATCATTGGTACTGTATAATATTTGGAGATATGTTCCCAGCCATATTTCCAAGCAAACAAAAAGCACTGAACTCTAGTATCCAACACGGCATCGCACATTGATTGTATAACATGCAATTAATATAAATTCTAAAGAGATCCGCTATGCATGTTTAAGCATGAACAAACTAGCATGATTTATGTAAGAGATCTACAATCTTCATTTCTCTCTAACCAACCATAAGATGATGTCCTCTATTCATTTTAGATCATGCAAATCAAATTTCAAGAAGTTTGACACTGAATGTGTTTGCTCCATATCGTGACAAATTGTTCATGATTGTGTTCATGAATTTTCAATATCAAAAACTTAAGTAGACAAAGCACCTGAAATTTATCATTTATGATACATTAATTTATCACATCAGATCTGACAGTTTATTGAAAATCACATCATAGTAGATATCTTCATATGTATGTATAAATTTAATCATCTACTATTTTGCTGCTGATATTTTTAGTCTGCTACTGCTTATCCAAAAGTAAAAATGAGTAATCATCATGCCTGAGCTTGTTACTGTGCCGGTCAATTTCTATAAAGTGAAGTGATTCTCACTCATGTCCGACTGAGTCAAATGAGGTAACTACTAATTAACACATCAGAACTCACCATCGTCCATTCATCAATTCTATGCACCTTCGAGCATCATTTCTGTCCTTAAATCTCACTAAAACAACACCGTGTGGATTATTCTCACAGACCTGCAAGCAGAGACATAAAAGAGAGTGAGAAGTTGGGGAGAAATTAAAATGAGCTGAAAGTAGATTAAAATCTAGTAAAACAGCAGCTTGGCAATGGAACTCAAAAGTGGCTATCAGTGCATTACTAAAGGAATACAACAAGAATGAAGAGAATTTTCAACCTTTGTCCTTAGAATTGCATGGAGGCAGTAGGAAACCAAACAAAACAAAACCAAACAAAACAAACACAATGACTTCTGAACTTCTTGTTTTCCATGATACCTAAGTATTTCTTTGAGAATGAAACGAAGAAAACAATTTTCAGTTCATGTTTGAAAATGCACAGGCTGGTCCGCTAGTGAAGACAATGAAGTACACTTTTCAATGCCTGGGAGTTCTTAAAAGGTCAGCCAAATAAGTGTTGGAGAATAAAGGACTCCCAAGAACAAATGCAATTAGATGAAATGAACTAAATCTGTACCATACATGTAAAATGCAAAATTTACCACCTAGCACTAAACAAAAACCAGTGCAAAGTTTCTATTGCATGAATAGCTTGTTTAGTATGATTTGTAACAGGTTATGTAATAGAAATACACAAGCTTGGCTGAAAAAATTTCAGATACCTTGATGGAATCTATTGGACCAAGCTTCACACATTCCTCTCTAACATCTACCTCGAGTTCTGAACCTAAGCTTTCATCAGCCTGTAATAAGAAATTCAAATATAGCATGGTACAAAAATCAGTAACTTCATATTCGAAAACAGAATGTAGCAATCCTACCTAAGGATATTAGCCATTAAAAACAAAAAAAATGAGATGGCATATTTTATTTTGAGAAAAAAGTACCATTTATAAATATTCTAATGATGATAAACATTTGTAATAAGAAGCTGCAAAGCAGATGCTGAAAACAAGAGACTGTGCTTTTCCTCAATGAGTATGAAAATTTTGGTTACTGCATTTCAATGCCCCATGCTAGTACATTCTCTTTAAAACTTCAACCCTTGCACTATTGCACAGTCATTATACTGACCAAATCAAAATGGTAACCTCTTCAGATAACCAAAAGTAGGAGAATTACATTAAGCGCCCAGATAAAAACACCCTTAACAAAATAAACTACTAAAATAGAGAAAAGATTTGCAACATAAACAGATCAACAATGGTGGATATGGCAACAGGTCATTGTTTACCATATCTCTGCAAAATCTCAAAGAAACACATTTGCTCTCTTAATAACTTTTTGTGCACACATAAAAACTTAAATACAACAAATGGATAGCAGTTTGTCTGTCAAATGTTAGACAGATTCTGATAAAAGTCATTTAAACCAACAGTACTTCCAGAGGAAGTCCCATCCAAACCATAGATGGTTCCAAACTCACCCTCATTTCAGAAAGAGTGAACAAGTGGCGAAGAACTACAGTCGCTGGAATTGACACCTTGGCATCATCACGGCCACCTGTGGGATACAAGCACATGAAGTCAGCCATATGCAAGGCATCACTTGTAAAAGCAACTGCAAAGGAACTCGAAATAAAAACCTCAAGAAAAAACTAGTTACATCTCATGGAACAAAATTGAAACATTGAAAATAAAAATAAGGCATGTAATTTTCAACCCTTCAACTGCATTGTATCCACTCAAACCTGGTTCAAGATTTACCCTACAATGGCCTTTTTTTATCCACTCAAACCTGCTTCAAGATTTACCCTAGTAAGGCCTTTTTTTTTCAACTGTAACTCTAAAAAATGGAAAATTTTGTATTCATGTGTAAAAGGGATAAACCACATAATTCCTCGTCAATTTTAACAAGCCAGAGAAAGGTTGCTGGAGTTGACCTTCTCACAATCAAAGTACTTTAGTTAAAGGAATGGTTTAAATCATGGATATTGTGGCAATGTCATAAAACGTAGGAGTATAGATACTTTATTTCAGAAAAGACAGGGATAGATAAAAGTAAGTTCACTTGGAACCCTTACATGCATATTTACTGAACTAAATTCAATGCCTCAGATTGAACAAGAACCTACCCCAACCAAGGATCCTGTCCTCAACCTTCTTCAGCTTCCTTTTCTTCTTGCTGTCAATTTGTTTGGATATAAATCTGTCCCCTGCATTTATCATGAATAAGACTCAGTTATCCTTAAGACATAGAGATATCATTCATATACTGATTTACATGAAGACAACAATAAAAGAAATCCTCCGTATTGCAATCTGAAAATTTGAAACATCATGGTTCACACTTGTTACCTCTCTGTTCAAACTTGGCTTGGCTGACTGACATAGGAATTGTGCCCCCAGGACGCAATGGTGTCCCATCCAAAATTTGCACAGCCAAATCTACAGAGGGTTCCTACCATGCAAAATTTGCATATACTCAGAGATAAGAATCTTGTCTTTTTCACATTTCAAGTACAGTAACACAGTAAAGCAATTACCTTCAAATATGTAACTAGAGCATCTCCTTTTACTCTTCTTGTCTCTTTGCCAACATAAATCTTCACTCGGGGCTTTTTTGTTTCAGGATCCTACAAATTCATAACTTGGTTTCTTAGATGTGCAGTTCAAAATGAAAAATTGCCTAGGATTAAATATATGTTCCACACATCACGAGACTGGGAAGATAATGCATGCACACAAAGACATCCATAAAAAAATTCCCGTTTCACCTTTTGATAATGCATGAAGAACAAAATTGAAACACTAATAGAGTGAGGTCCATTAAACAGTAATGTAGCCTAGCCTAGCCTAGAAGATTAATTTTGAATCATATTGGAACATAAATGTCAACAAACAAGTGTCTTTAGGACACAATTAGACACAAAACCTCAACTATGTCCAGAATAATGCATGGGATATGGACCCTCCAAGAAGACCTGAAAATTTATATGCAACGATGCATGCACAGCATCAGCTCCTCAGTCAGCAAAACAGAGTAGTTCTGCAACGAAAACAGTATTCTCCACCCTCTTAATGTGAAAACTTTACATGTACCATATGCACAAATCTTCTTTAATTTTATCATAGCACAACAATAACAACAGCAAAGCTTTTACTTTATCATAAGATTGTAAAATAAATGGCCATATATAGTCTAGCTTTGTGGAGATGACTTCACCTTACACTTCAAAAGTCCTTTAAGAATATACTAAATGAGTTAATCTTCTGTTGAATTCTCTTCTTTATACTTTTTTCCATCTCAAGTACATGCATGTAGCACATGATTACTGAATTATTAAATTCAATCATAAAGGATGATAGCTGAATTGCTAAACATACTCTGTTACATGAACCAACAAGTTCATAAGCTTTTTTTTTAACTGCACAACATCTAATGAGTATTTGACAAGATTCTTTTCTGGTGCTATGCCTGGCCTGGGTCGCAAAAACTATCATAGGAAAAAGGCGACTTGAAACCTCAACCATGAGTGGATTAAGAAAACGTGTACAGTAAATCAACGCAAATTATACCTCCTTAATTATCCCACATTTGGAAAATACCTCTACCACCTGCAATGGTTTTATCAAATTAGCTTCTAGCTAAGATAAAACAATAACCAAGATAAGACAGCAACTGACTTACTTCTTCAGCAGTGACATCATCAGGCAACCCAGTTACATAAACGTGTGTATTGACTTTCAATTCAAACCAACTATCAGGAGCCTTATTGGCTTCCTGCAAAATATATAAAAATCAAGGAGTTAAGCACAGCCAAAAAAACACAATCCAAACTAAAAGAAAAACAACAAATACCCAAATACCCCATCATGCAAGTGGCACCTTAATTCTTATACATTTAATTTATAGTACAATCTATTTTTATGGTCCCAAAAATCACTGTTTGATAATGATGATGACGACAATCATCAGGCTACAATGGTACTGTTAGTTGTGCTTAAAACCCAACTTGCATGAACAAAGTAACTAGAAAAGAGGCAAGACTCCATCTTCAATGGTTTTGTGAAGAAGATACCTTTTTATCAGCTTGCTCATCCTTCTTGTCCGCTTGCTTGTCATGCAATTTCCTCTTTTTATTATGCTGTGATCCTACCACTTCATCAGTAACATTGAATTCTTCCTTCAAAGTGGCATCAGCAGCATTTACATTTAGAAACACCTCCTCTTGTTCATGGAAAGTCATCTCTTCTACTCCAAACCGCCCACTAACACTTGAAGGATTATCCTAGAAAATCACTTGATTATGAACAAAAGGTTGTAATCATCATTTTCAATCACATCAGTAAGAAGATGATAGTTGGCCAAATAAAACAATGGTAAAAAACTGGAGAATTAAGAAGCAGCATCACCTTTTCAATGCATCAATATGAGGAAAAAAAATGGGAAATTTTGGTGTTACAGGAGAGGCAAGAAAACCACAAGAAAATATCCTCAAAATAAAGAAGCATGATAGCACTAAGCAATCCAGTAAAATAGCAATGGAAGTTTCAGAAGATATCTGACTCGAAATGATCACAGAAATGATCATTAGAGATTGCTCTTTCCAAGTCCAGGAAGCACTGATCACATGATACAAGATTAACTTTCTTATGATGCATAAATTCAGGATGGCAATGAGTGATAATTTTTGTGATGTTCATGAAAATCTATTGAAAAGATTATCCTGGCTTCATATAATGGGCCACTGAACAGTATGCTTTCTTCTTAGGAATCCTCCGTGTCCAATTGCTTGCACAACCCTAATAATCATCACTAGAACCTAAAATCTGTCTCTCTTCAGATACAGAAACCCAATGTGTCCTACAATTTCCCTGCACAGGAAATCCGATACAGTTTTAGGCCACTCATCAAGCCCAAAACCCAAGAATTCACCAATGCTGCACTTGATTAGTATCCCATATCAACAATCAGAATATAAACCATCTGAAGGAGCTTCAGATAGAGTATGAGATGACTCCCTCCATAAACATTAACAATGAGAAATCATCAACAGATAGCAAATGGCACAACCCAAAATTATCCTTCTCCGTTAACCCTCCTCAATCTTAATCAAAATTGACCATATGTACAAACATACATGTGTAGGTATATATGTTTAGATATGCATGGATATGAATTTAAAAAAAATAAAAATAACAAGGTTAAGATCTGAATGTCAAGAACATAATGCTAACGCAGAATTTCACAATAAAGTTTTGACAGTTCTTGAAAAAATATCAGAATGAAGATAAACCCTCCAAAAGCCACAAAATGACAACCAACCTGAGGAACCCAGGCTCTTAGGCTTCCATCCCACTTGTATGTAGTCCCATCATCATCTGTGAATTCATCCTCGCCATCTGGTGGTGATAGAACCCTGTCAGGATTGTCTATCCCAAGATCATCTCCAGTGTTGCCAGAAAGAGATCCATTTTTCAGCCTTTCTGCCTCAGCCTCAGCCTCTTCTACCTCCCTTTTCCATTTCTCAAACTCATCCTCATCAGTGTTAGGTGACACTGCAAACAGATCATAGCATCAGATAGCTTCCGTGAGCAAAATGAGAAAAGAAGGGGGAAGAAGATCTTCACCTAAAGTAGAGTGCTTGGCTTTCCATTCACTGCTAGAATGAGATTCATTTCTCAATCCAACAAATTCCAATTCAGCCTCTCTGGCCTCCTGCAACCTCTCGACCTCCTTATCATTGTAAGCAAGTGCTGCATGAAACATCAGGGGTTACAAGCCCTCATTCAGAAGATGGAAATGATAAATATGCTTATGAACATATATACAAGGGCATATCAAATGTGCAATGATACATAGACAGCACGGAATAGAAAAGAAAAGGAGATTCTTCACCTGCTGTGGAATAATCAGATCCCTGTTGAGATATTCCTGACGTGAACTCAGGGAATGAGGACAGTGGCTGCCATTCACTTCTTCCTTCAGACCATACCAGTGTACTTTCTACAAGATACCCATTCAGGAAGTGCTCTGTCCATGCGAAGCAAATAAGCAAAGGATATGGTTCAATAGCTCATTAGACCAATTGAACATGTTACAGATGGAACGATTGTCCTGAAACCTTGCTATTGATTACTGATGGAACTGGAATTCCAGAAAGCAGAGAAAGAAAATTCTCCAGTAAATGAAA